AAAATCTGTATTGATACATGCATTCTAATAAAATGATTGATAAGCGTTGAAATAATGTATACAGCTACTTTTAACTTATTATAATATAAAATATATATAGGACAGGTGCGTATATTGATTCATATATTCAGTAGAATAATTTTATTGAATGAAATTCAGCTTCAGTCTGAATTTAAAACGATAAAAATTTATGAATTGAAACTATTTTTAATCTTTACATTATTGTTTATTGGATTTTTTTCCTTGTTTTGTATGGGGCAAAGCGACACGTGAAATATTTGCCGAAAGGGATGCCTCCCAGAAGTACTTTCTACGGGAAACTGGCCCATATTTAGGTTTTACAAACGTGAAGAAAATCCGGAAAGCTCCGGTGGCCAGCCCGTTGGCCAGGTGCGAATCCACGACCAGCTACCAGCGTTTAGTGGTCCACTTGGTCATTGATTGTTTATTGTAGTGTTGTTAAATTTTATGAATTCTGTGCATTGTTTCACTTCAATATTACGTTTCCGGCTGTTACATATAACAGAGGGAAAGTATGACGATCAGTCAAAAATGACCCCTGAAGATATTTACATTTTCGGAATTGAAACGTCGAGAAGTGAAAAACATTGGGTTTTTTCCTGTATATATTCACGTTAATGTGTTTGGGAGGCACGATTTTGTTCACCTAACTTTCAAGCTCAATAACTCCTGTGGCTTCTGTCAAATATTTCTGAAATTTTGCAGGGAGGTTTGTGTATTAGGACTATTGATGCCATTAAATTTTGGTGATTAAAGATCGAGGGGTGGAGATGATAAGGGTCGAGTGTATCCCATTAGGATCAGACTTAATTAATGACGATTTTACTCGTTATCGGCATTTACAATTTTTTATAAAACCCATTCCTATCCTCAAAATTAAGCATTTTGCCATTTTATAATAGTAAAATGTATATAAAAATTTAAAATGAAATATGATAATAGATGGCACCACCGAAATTTTAAACGTTGCCGGGAAAGTTGAGCAACTCGTTGCTGGTTTTTTTTTAAATAAACGTCTCTCTACCCTTCAAGATAAGCTCTTTTACCTTTCTATAAACATTAATAATGTAAAAGCTATTTTTATTTTTTAATAACGTCTCATAACACATGGTGCCATACACAATTTTAACTTTAAGCTAGTAAGTGTTATAGTGTTTTCTTTAAGCTTAAATATTAATTTATTATCATTTGCTGAAGAGAAAGTACAGTTTAATTTGTACAAGTCTAAATTCGGCTTTAACTTGAATGTATAAACCGACTTAATACATAATCAAAACGTAAAACTTTTTAGCTAATGGTAACAATGTAAAACGAATTGTAACAATGTGTTTTATCAATATACATGTACTGCACAATGTGTAAAACATAACAATGCACCATTACCAACATCTAGAATACATTGGTAAAACATCGGTACAGTGTTTTTCAATGTGTTTGTACATTGACAAATACAGTGGTAAAACATTAGTAACATTAATGGCTTAAAGGTTTGAATTTCTTAGATGAATATTTTCTCTTAAAAAGTTAAAAATTTTAGTGATATTTTATAATTTCTAAATTTCTATTTAGAGTTAACAGATCAAACAATCTCTTCTGAAGACCTTCAGAGTAGATGCTATGGTTTGCATATTTCAAGAATAAAACACGATAGAAAAAAATAAGAAAAATCGATAAATTTCTTATTAATTATTAATTCAAAAAAAATAGTAATATATGAAGAAAATTCTACTTTTTTAATTCAATGAAATGAAGCTAAATTGACGTCTTAACATGTACCAATTATTTGCTGAATTGACGAATTATACAGCAAATCTTGTTTCATTCAGCTATTTTCTCCTTTTCTATAAGTATCATTTACAGATTTCTTATACATTATATAGAAGAATCACCGTGATCATTTATATATAGAAAAAGTCTTCTATTTCTCGGAGAAGAAAAGAAAAATATAGGCTAAATGACTGTTTTCACTAAGATTTCTGTATAAAGATATAAACAGATTTTGACTGCTTAATAACAGAAAGATGGTAATATCTTATAACACATTTACGTATCACATCTTAAGCAAATTTGCACAATTTGTAAAATTTTAAGATTTATTATTGTTTTTATCTTCGTTTTAATGCTCTATATGGGGTTGTATTTTAGTTCTTCTTCTATCATCATTAGTTCTTTAGTTCTACCATTATAAGTTCCTCATTAGTTCTACTACTGTCAGTTCTTCTTATATGTTTTTTTTTTCTTCTGATTTTGCTTCTTAAGTCACTAAACTTTAAGAAAAATAAAAACCAGATTGCTTTGTTTAAAGTTATAAAACTGTAAGGACGAGTATTTATTACTTTAGATACTAAAAACAATGTTTATTTTAAGTGCATAGTTTATAGAAGTTTGCACTGCAATCGAAACATACGACAAGCTATAAAAGTGCAGTTTACTCTTTCATAAATTTCGACCAGTTGAATGTAATGGTCATAAACAAGATCAGAATTTCACTCTGTTCCTGCGATTAAGACACAACTGCAATTTTGGTAGAAAGCAGCAGGTTTCTATTAAGAAATAAAAATCAAAGAGAACTTTTCACCAACATTTTCTGAGTTATTTTTAAAAATAAATTTACTAGAATTTTACACAATTTGTCGATTTTAAACTGTAAATTAATAATAAAAGTAAAGTTCTAAACACTAAAAATAAGAGTCAAAATTAAGGTTCGAATATAAAAAGTGAAAACGAAGTCGCGTGGCGCTCGTCGCGTCGCATCGCAAGCTGTTTAATAATAAGTTTCGAACTTTGTAAAAACACGAAAATCTTTAAGAATTGTTTAGATTATTAAAAATCAGACAGGATAAATAAATATTACAAAAATTAATTTGTCTAATTCTATGATAGGAATATGTTAGCGCGCGAAGCGACGCGACAACGCGTCGCGTGTTGATCCTAACACACGGGATAATTATTAAAAGTAAACAGTAAAAATGAGAAATAATAGAAAATTAATTATCATTACATTTACAAATTAAGTTGTATTAATTTTATAAATGATTTTATTAATGTTATTTAATTAAAGGAGCGCTAGAAGCAAAGGGTGGTAGGGGTGTTGGAAGACAATGGGGTTAAAAATTCATTTTAAAACAAAAATAAGAAATATATACACTAAAAGGAGAATAGCTGAATTAAGAATTTAAATCTCTATGTCAGCTTATACATAAATTAATTTATTTATTACACTTTAAAACTGTATATAATTATACATTTTTAACGGTAATTCTACAGCATTTAGGCCATTAAACAGTTTTCTTAATTACTTACAAACATTTTAAAAGTTCATAATAAACCCATTATAAGTTCCTTAAGTATTTATAACGTTCTTTCCATTTTTCCTGATTAAAAGGGAAGAGTAATAAATGAAATTATGACAAGTGAATTTCTTAAGAAAATTTTCAAGTATATAATTTATTTCCCAGGTTTTTTTTATTTATTTCTTAATCGATATTTTAAAATAGAAGAGAAGAAAACCTATGCAACCATCGATCATTTTACCATGAAAAGTGTCAAATAGACGATTCCTTATTCTTTATCATCATTGTTACTTATTATTTATAGTTTCATATATTAGAAGTTACAGTTTGTTGTCAATTGTGAACAATTTTTTCCTGTTGGAGAGGTTATCCCAATTGGGTGTAGACCCCTGAAGCAGGAGATGTGGTAGTTGACCTAAAGCAGCCCCCGTAAGGCCCCTTTTATACAAGTTTATATAATTTAACTCACAATTTTATAATTGTAAATATCTCAGGCCTGTAACAGCTAGGCCTTAAGCAAAGATTTACACTGTCTTATGCCTAAAACCATCACTTATTAGACTACACTTGAATATTACGACCTAAGAAAATTTAAGATTTATAAATATATTTAATTATTATTAATAGAAAAAATAACAATTATTAAATTCTTGCAACAAATCCGTCAAACAATGGCCAATTTTTAATTTGAAGTTTGATTTCTCAGTTTAATTAGTGCAAATCCCTTTTTAAAACGCCAATAACTAAAGATTGATTCATTTATTTTCTTTCCAACTGTTCATTTAGAATTAAAATTAATTTTTTTTCTACTTTTTTCAATTTATAAAAAATAACTTAATTAATTAATTAATGTCTTAAGAAAGAAATTTAATTTCCAGGAGAAAAAAATGTAAATTAATTTTTTAGTACTTTTTTCGGATGTCAATTATTACTTTAGGCTATTTTTCTATTTTTTTTTTCTTTCGAAAAAATAAAGTAAAATGAGATAAATGAAAAATTACAACAAATGCCCTTGATATAGTAAAATTATTTAGCTAAGTCCTTTGAGAGTTCGCTATATCGAGAATCCACTGTATTGTCGTAAACATACACAACACAATACACAATATACACGCAACACAAAACAGTACACAACATCCACACAATACAGTACAGAACACACACAAAACAACACAGAACAATAGAAACACTCAACAGAAAATAACACAGCACAACACCCAACAGAAAACAACACAGCACAGAACAAATACCCCACAGAAAACAACACAGCACAAACATCCAACAGAAAACAACACAGCACAACACAATACCAACAGAAAACAACACAGCACAATACAATACCAACAGAAAACAACACAGCACAACACAATACCAACAGAAAACAACACAGCACAATACAATACCAACAGAAAACAACACAGCACAGCACAGCGCAAACACCCAACAGAAAATAACACACAGCCTATAAAATAACATTTTTAGTCTTAAAAAATAATAAAAAAATTACCCGACATTAGAAAACCATTCATAAACGCACAATTGATTAATAACGGACATAAAATTACAATAAAAAGTTAGAAAAAATAAAAATAAAAAGTCCACTTTACGCACCGATTTTACGCGTGGCGCCATCTACCGATCTAATTCCACTCCACCAAGTGGCAACGAACCAGACACACGTACCTTGATGACGTCGCATTTCACCTGTATGTTTCCATCGGAGTACGAAGTCGCCATACTGTAGATGTTTGGGCGTTTACCTGTCGAAGTGGTAAACCATGGCATTAAATCACCGAAAGATACCATGGTACCATCGTAAACCTTTACTTAAAGACAGTTTATTTACCGATTTACAGAATGGTAGCTACGTTGCTTCTATATTTACCTTGGTAAGTGATTATGCACCTATCGATGTTTACCTTAATTGGAATTTAAATATTTCCCTATTTCCATTTAGTTTAATTTCGTTCGTGGAACACAATTAACGCCGAATTATTCTTAATTAACGCAAAAAATTCCGAAAATCGACCTCTTTTTTAGAGCAAAAATTACTCGAATAATTACTTAAAAAATGATTATTCATCAATTAAAAATCGATTTATTGTAAATATTTATTTATTAAAATTATTTATATTTATATTTTTTTTGTAGGTGGAGTGCATTTATATGGTGATTTTAGTCATTTTTGACATTTATTGCTTAGCGGAAGCGCAACCAGGAACCAGACATTATCGATATTTTGGGATAAGTTTTCTATTCGTGTACAGTGGAAATTTCCATGGTAATATTATAATTTCCCTCTCTAGACTATTAATTATTTAAATTATTAAAGTACAGAAGTGTTAAACAATAAACAAACGAGTTATGAGCGAAGTTTAAAGTGTATTACACAAGAGCGCGTGTGACGCGCGTCGTCGACCTCGACGCGTCGCGTGTCGTCCAGTCGGCAACCCCCTTTTTCAATTCCAAATTTTTTGCATTATAAAGCAAAAAATATCGAAATTTCTTGCTTATTTTCGTATTTTTAAAGCGTTAAAAGTCAATTTGAATGTGTGAAAATGTATAAAGTTGATAAAATGCAAAGGGGCGCGACCGTTCGCGCGCGACGGTAAGCGATGACTGAAAATACACTAAATAACTCGAAAAAAGAGGGTTTTAATTTTAAAAATCGTCCCACAATTTTAGGATGTTTTTAACGCAAGTTATATTCTCGAATTTGTATTATAAGTATTTTAATTAATTCGCCTAATCTGTGATTAATTAAAGTTAGTACCTTAATTAAACGGGTTTACGAATATGAGGAATATTATTATTATTATTATTATTATTATTATATTAATACAGTCGTGATAGTACGAGAAAGGTGCATTTTTTGACAGTCACGATGCATGTAAAGGGTCAGTCAGTTGTGATTATCATTGAAAAAAGGCATTGACCCTGTACGGTTGTTACTTCTCCACTTTAGATCTGACACAGATTAGTTGTGCTGATTTATTTCATGCTTTGGATCCTAAATTTTACTTGATTCTTTATTGTTTTCTACACTAAAATACTATATAAACATCTGTTTTTAAATACAGGGCGGATTAAAAGTCAGTTGACTGTTTTTTTTATTTATGAATACGAATCGTAAAATGAGTTTGCAGAATTGTCGGAAACATGATTTGAATACCAGAACAATGACTAACTGATTTTCTCCATCCTCTATTTTCCTTCAAAAAAAAAAAAAAAAAAAAAAAGGTTGGCTCCCAAAATTTAGTGAATATGAAGAAATATAATATGTAGGATGTAAGATGTAATGGGATAAGGCAACGCAACACGTGGGCGATCTGCTAAGGGGGTGCCTCACGGGAGGACTTTTATGGGAAACTGGCTCCTATTTTGGTATTAGACACGTGAAGAAACCTCAGAAGTCCACATGGCCTGCTTGTTGGTGAGGCGCGAACCCACGACTACTGATTATCAACTCTGTCATGTAAAGAGTGATGCATAAAATTACATTCTTGCGAATGACGGAAAGAAGAGGAGTAACTTAGAACTGTTTTATTCGATCTGGACACAGTTGAACCCCCAAAATTTCGTCTTTATTAAAAAAAATAATTATATAAAAATTAATCGAATTATGAAGCTATCATTCTGGCTTATTATACAGAAACAACACCCATTATATTAATTAATTAATATAATGTGTATGTATTGGTAATTAAAGCACCCGTATTCTGCGTGTGCTTTTAAAGTGTTCCATGTGTTCCGAAATGTCGGGATACCAAATATAGTAGCATTTGTACTTTTAAATATCTCGTCAATTAATGGTACTTTAATTGTATTAAAGTACCATTAATTGTATTTAATTTTACAATCACTAGATATATAAAAATACGTTTAAATTTTAAATTTAAACTAAAATACAGTATATTTTTACAGTCAGAAATCTACTTCTTACCGAATCTGTGATCTCGTTTTTTCTCGCAATTTATCTTGGAATTGCTTCTGTTATCCTAATGATGGCACTGAAAAAGGTAAGTGCTGGCTTTTCTTTTTAAAATTTTTCAAGTTACAATCATTAAATTTTACTTCTTTTGTTTAAAACTTGCCAACCTTTGTGGTTTGCAACTTTCCAAGTATACAACTGGAACATTTTGACGCCATATTAATCGTATTTTGATATTTATTCCTTTATTTTTTAATATTCCAAATCTTTCTAATGTTTCATCTAAATTCTCTTTTTTCCTCTTCTTACTTTAATCCTATAATTTGGAATTTATTTTTGCTACTCTTCTTGTCTGCATCTTCACTGATGCTCAGCCATTACTTAATAGTGTTCTTAACTATCATTATTTTCCATTTATTATTGAAATTTTCAAGCATATAAATAACTTGTAAATAAGCTGTAAAATTTAATAAATAATTTATGTTTTTATTTTAGGAAAATGAAAGGAAATTTCGTCACTGGTTAATAGCTATAGTGTTATTTACAAGTTGGAGATTTGTTGGCACTTTCTTCAGGTCTATAGTTAATGTAATAATAATAATATTATTTTTTTATGTATTTAATATAAAAATAACGTCGTGAAAGTAGTAATAAGTTTAAAATACATTTCAGGATTTGTACTTCAGTTATCATCAGGCAATGTTAGTGATATGGATACTGCTGATGGTTGCCAATGTAAGTAATACAGGATTGATCGCTTGTGGTAAAATAATTACTATCTTTGTTAGGCCCAAGAGCAGTAATGTGCCAATTTTTCCATTGAATTAGATATATCAATACATAATATAAACAAAAATTTCGTTAAATTCATAAGATATTTATAACTCTTACAGGTTTTCTTTGGTCTAGTGGTTCTATCAAATTATCAAGAATTGTCGAACATAACAAGATTAGAAGATATGGCCAAATTAAAGGTAAATAAATATACTTAATCATCCAAAAAAAGAATTCTACCATTTTAAATTACTGTAATTATGTTAATTATTACCTGAGAAGTATGCAAAGTACACCGTTCTATCATCTACATACAAATATCTTACGGTAGATTTAACCAGGAAGAGCCATAAAACAAAAATGGCGACTTTGCGGTAGAGAAATCTTTTTGTGTTCTACAGTTTTCAAAGTTGGACTTGTCACCGAGCAACATGAATAATCTGCAAGAGCTGTAGAATTGTGGCCGCTATACCCATTGTACGAAGAATTTGGGTACGGGTTGGATGTGTGCTCTGTGACACATTGAAGAATTGTAATGGATAAATATGAAAATTGGACAGTTTTTCAATGTGTTTAATGTGTAATACAATAATTTAAAATGGTAGCATTCTCGCATTATTGTTTATGACATAATTAACACCAGAATATGTGTTTAGGTTGGGACATTAAGCAGTCTTAGCGCATCAATTTCGAGACATTCTTCGGAATCCATGAAAAATGCACATAATTTTACATCTTCGCCTAAAGGTTCATCTTCAACTGCATCGGCTTGAGGTACCTTAAAGTTAATTGAAAGAGAATCAATGATGACAGATCTGTCAGTTCCATCATCTTCATGTCATTCATCGTTTCCACTAGTTTAATAAAATCTCACACTTTTTATACACATGTTTTTTTTTTTAAAAAAACAATTGAACTTTAATATTGTAATCAGAGAGTACAAATTATATACATTGAAACATAAAATATAATTCGCCAATTTTAACAATAGAAGAATCTATATTTGAATATGAATCTCAGATTTATAAATCATTTTTTTAGATTTAAAAAAAATATATTTAAGCATATAATTAAATTAGTGAGAAGTATGGTTGTGCTTTTTTTAGTTCTTTTTTTTTGAATTTTCTTAATATTTATCTGGTTTGGGAATTTAATTTTTATGTAAAAAAATAAGCTAAATATATCGGCAAATTATTTTATTTTTTGTTGTGCAATAATTAAAAAAAAATAGAATATTTTATAGTTTTATAATATATTTTTGTACATACAAATGGATTTTTCTTTTATATATATATATATATTTATAAAGTTTGAATGATTTAATATGCATAAATCAATAGTTTTAAGTATATCAATACCTTAAATTTAATTATTTAAATTTAGAAAAATGTATACAAAAATCAATTGAAGTGAAACATTTCTTGAATAAATATTTTCATGTAAAAAAATATGAATTTTAACTTGTTTTTTCTTCACTTTTTGTGTTATTACAGTTAAATTTTAATGTTTGTTAATGCAGACAAAGTTTCAATTGTTATTTATTTTTCTATTGGATCCTTTAGTGATAAGCATAAAGTTTGATGAAGAAAACACACCATGCCAACAAGAAAATTTATTTCTGTCCTTCTGTCTCTCTTCAGTCCTTTATTACAGATCTATTTACTTAAACAATAAATTTCTCTATAATTCTAATACACAACACTGAATACATAATGCACATATAAAAAATTTAAATACAGTAAATTATCTTTTACTGTTCTTTTTAAAATTTAATAAAGGACTGAAGAGGTGCAGAAGGCCTAAAGTGCATTTCCTTGTATAATATATCGACAAAGTCAATTACTGGTGTGTCCCCTGTGTAATTAGTTATCTTCATGTTTTATCATTAGTTTTTAATAGAGATTATATCCTCGTTGTTGATGACCTAGTAGGAAAATTAAGAAATTTTTTTAAAGTTATTTTTTATATTTATTGTAAAGAAAAACTATGGAAAATAATGATTCGTGGATATCATTAATCCAACTAGAGATTTAAATAAATAAATAAATAAATAAATAAATTATAACAATACTTACCATTATATCTGTCGATATCATAATCAACTTCAGGTTCAGGTAATCTTTCTCCATGAGTTTGAAAGTGATGAAATCCATCATCTCTATGAGAGTAACCATGAGAAGAATGTTGTGAAATGGCCTTCGCACGCATATATTGTGAAGAATTAACTTTTTCTTGTTCATATGGTGGAGGAATTGCTTTAACACTTCCATATTGTGGATTAATATAACTAAACTTCCTATTTGGATCAATTGGAGCCATGGAAGATAATGATGGTATTCCTCTAGAATGGTATGCTGAAGGTTCCGTATTGAATCCGTGATTTCCGTATTGATTTATATGTGGAATTGTTGGATAATTTGTTTGATTAGCCTGAAAAAATCGTGTAAACTCGAATTATTTACAAGTAATAATAATGAAAACGAAATATAATACTTTACTTCTTGAGTCTTCTCTCTTGAAATTTCTTTTGCTCTCTGGCACACGTAGATAATTAAAGATATCTGAAGAAAAAACATAAAATTAGTAAACTTTTATTGATTGTTTTTTTGCATAATTATTAAAAAATATTTTTATATTTTGGTTTACCAAGATGGCCAATACGATGATTCCTTTATCAAATAAAGAAGCCATGATGATATTGCCTAACACTTTTCTTACCATCCAAAAACTTTCTAACTTAACTCCACTCGTTTGAATCTAAAACATCACGTTTAATTATTAAGTACATTTATATAATTCACTTTATAAAACAAATACCTCTTTGATTGCTTCGTATAAGAAGAATATTGTCAATGAAACGTCAGTTGAAATGACAATCAATGTGGCCATAATCCATGATGCTAATGCAGAGACAATTCGTTTCTGTAAATAATATTTAACCATAGAAATTATTTAATGGAAGATCTATTATTTTATAAATAGTATGGATAGGTCATACTTAATGGGCTTCCATTAAGATGGGCATTATATCTTAGGTAACTAAGGATATTAATAATTAGATAGCCCATAACTTAAGTATGAGTATTTAATGATGCCCATGGTTAAATAGGAGTATGTTATATTGAATATTAATGAAAAATTTCACCTGATTTCCAATAATTATAGCAACAGAAGCTATAAACCATAACACGTAAATGACTAGAGATACTATCACGATACTTTTCACAGCTGTAAAAATTAATGTTTAAGGTGTGAAAAAGTTATGTAAATGGGAAAAAATTAAAGTAAATAAAAGAAAGTAAAATTACTTTTATCGTAATAAAGAAAAAGTACACTTTCAATGATTTTAGTAATAATTTTACTTCCTTCTCCGACGGTTGAATTCGATTCAAATATCGTCAAATTAGGTTTAATTATGTTTTCCAACTCCAAAAAAATTGATTTCCATATAATACCATAAATGGAAATAATCTGTAATATAAATATATAAATATTTAATAATAATAAATGAATAATCATTTAAAGCAGGGAGGATAGTAATGTTTAAACCTGATTTTTATAACTTTTAATTTAATTATTTCTATTAACTTATATCTTTTTCTATCCACACGACAGAGAAAAACACGAAAATTAAACATATAGATAAGAATTTTTATGAGAAGAAGGTACAGAGTGCTTCTTTCTCTTCAGAACTCAGTACACTCTCGATTAACAGGAATGATATTACTGTAACACTAACCTATGTTCAAATAATCACTATTGAAAACATAGCTCATAGGATATTAAAGATAATTATATTCAAAAATTAAAATTATTATAAAAAATAGAACATTAAACATTTCACAAAATATAGATTACGAAACATTTGAGAATTTATTTATCAAAACGTGATAGACAGACATAATATGATATCTTATCAAAATAATAATAGGAAGTTCCTACAAAAACACATCGTTTAAAGTAACTCATACCTGTATATCACCTTATTATATCGATGAGATGAGGCAACACGACATGTGGGCTATCTGCTAAGAGGGAGGTGCTTCTTTCTATGAGAAATTGGCTTCTATGTAAATGTTAGACACGTGAAATAAACCCTAAAACTTCACGAGACCAGATACAAACCCGTGACTAGAGTTCTCGTGAAGTTTTCGGGTTTATTTCACGTGTTTAACATAGGAGCCAGTTTCTCATATTCATACATATATAAACTATAGTTAACTTACAATTGATTTGAGAATCAAAATAAAACTACAGTAAACTCTGAATATCCGCAATGAATGGAAAAATGCCATTCCGATAAGTAGAAATTCCTGTTAATTGGGTACATCAATGACAGAGTAAATAATGTTATCGAACACTGGTAGTTTGGCTCATACCACGTAGAGTTTTTTGGACTTTTTTCACGTGTATAACACCTAGTTTCTCATAGAGTATCTTCTCAAGTGGCAGATGACCCATGTGTTGAAGCAAACTATCGTACTTCTTCCCTCTTTTTGGCCATATACTTTCGGTAATTAATCTGAACAGAAGGTTAATTGCCGAAAGCAGATGCTTCATAAAGCTCACTAACGTAATAACTCACTGGTAAATATTTCCGGTTAATACAATTCCGAATAATCGAGAGTCAAGTACTGTAATCTATAATGTTATAATATCATCTGTTTACACAGAATTGGAAGATATCTTTGAATGCATGCTGAAAAAATAACTGAAAGTAACGTATTTTAATTTGATTTTATATACAGTATTTTATTCTTAATATAGTAAATAATTATGTTAAAATATATAAAAAATTAAATAAATGTTTACATGGTAAACAATAATGAAAACAATTTCGATTCGTTCCCTTATAAATTATTGTGTTAAGTAATTAAATTTACCGTTAACCATAATTAAACTTCATAAAATATAAAAGTATTTTAATAATTTAAATAATATGTACTGTACTTACAATACTAATAATAGATGCTGTTAAAGTCGAGTTAAAGAGGGAACAACCGCAGAACCCCATTTTACTTTAGTGAAAAGTTTCTGACAAAAAGATAAGGACAACAAGGATACAGTGATAACACAAGAGAATGTGATAAGATAAATATGGAATTAACTCCAATATACCTAGAAAATCACGTACACTGGTAGAAAATTTATTGTATTTAAATATATTTATGGTATATCTTATAATTAACAATAAAATAGATTAAAAAAAAAAAANTTTAAGTAGATAAAATATTACATTGTGCAGATCTTTAAATATTAAAGTAACATTAGAGAAAATTTTCAAAATTCATAAATTAGTATCATTTATAACCTAACATGAAGTATGAAACACGAATTGCAACCAAAATACTCATATAATTTTTACTAAAAACTATCGATTAGCTTTAAAAATTTATTAGAATATTTTAAATGATTTATAATCCATTCAAATTCTTTAATTATTTTAACTTGTTAACATGATTTTTATAGGGCTGTAATGTTCGAATAACAGGGCTCCCGTCTGTCTGTCCATCTTTAATCTCGAGAACTGAATTAGATAGATAAAAATCGAGAAGAGATACGGGAAACGTAGGAGTCTGTGACCTATTTAACTATATAAAACCTCCGGTTGGGACCGGAAGTCAGGTGATTTCAATTCAAATTTTTCTCGAGAACAAAGCTTGCATTACTCGATTGCTATCAGGAGAAGAATGATGTACAGGGTGAATACACTACTAAAATCCTGGAAAGTTTAGGGGTCGAAGAACCCGACTAACTGTATACTAAATTTCGGGCTAAACCGGAAGTCACGTGATTTTTTTTTAAATTAAATTTGATTTAAAGAAATTATAACTCGGCATAATAATGATGATGTCGTAATAAATAATTGTTCGTTGAATTGTAATTTTTCTCAATTTTTTTTCCCTAAAAATTTGCTTCTAAATTATTATAAAATAGCGAAAAACTTAATTTTGAGGGTTGGGATAGTTTTATAAAAAAAAATTGTAAATGCTAATAACTAGTAAAATTGCCATTAAGTTTGACCCTACTGGAGATACACACGAATTACTTTAACTCCCATCCCTCGATGTTTAATCATCAAAATTTAATATCAGCAATCCCCCTAATAAAGCCTCCTGCAAAATTTCAGTTTGTTTTATTAAGTTATGGCAACGCAATACTTGGGCGATCTACCTAGGGGATGCCTTTCGGATGGTTTTTTTAAGGGTACTCGACTACTGTGGGCAGCTGCCTTCCTCCATGGGAGTGCAATCTGTCCAATTAGCAGGAAGGAAAACACTATAATTCACAAACCAGAAGTTTTTTTATCCAGCGCTTACTAGTAGCCGAGTGGATAAAAACTCTGAACAATGGTCATGGGTTTTTGCCTCGCCACAGCGCTGGCTACGTGGCGTTTTCTGGATTTTTTTTCTCGTTTGTAACACCCAAATACAGACCAGTTTTTCATAGAAATTGCCCCCCCTCTGCAGATCGTCTACGTGACACGATGCCGTAAATAAACCACTTTTTATGGGGAAAAAAGGAAATAGAGTGAGAAAGCCCCAACTATAAAGATGGCGTCAACAATAGAGATTCTGGCTAGAATTTATTAACAAACACGAAAGATGCATTAAGCAGTTTCTCCAGTGCAAAAAGAAAAACAATTCACTACTTTTGGTTAAAGTACAATTGTTCAGGGACCCGAATTTCTGTCGAAAGTTCTCGCTTTCAAGCACCTATTAAAATGGAAACGATTCTAATTGGTAACTAAAAAACGATGAAATAACTGCATTAAAAAGTCATTTTTTTAATGCATGGACAAGTAAACTTGCAGACAAACAAGTCTGATTTTAGTCATAAGCGTTGCGGTTAATTGCCGAAATTTCTTGGTTCTCTTCTAGTTGGCATCTACTTTATGAATGCCAACTAATGCTTTTGGAATAAAAACATTCAAGATTAATTTACACTCAATTTGAAGGCAGGTGTTAATGAATTGATAAGAAATTATAAATAATAGCAAAATTATTTATCATTTTAATAATTTTAATTGCATAACAAAACAATTTTTGATTTATTTTCCAGTTAATTAATATTTTATAAAGCTCAAGAAATTTATATCCTTTTGTACATGAATTATATACAGGATTTATTAATTAATGAATAATAAATAAATGTTTTTTTCCATATAGGAGCCAGTTTCTCATATTCATACATATATAAACTATAGTTAACTTACAATTGATTTGAGAATCAAAATAAAACTACAGTAAACTCTGAATATCCGCAATGAATGGAAAAATGCCATTCCGATAAGTAGAAATTCCTGTTAATTGGGTACATCAATGACAGAGTAAATAATGTTATCGAACACTGGTAGTTTGGCTCATACCACGTAGAGTTTTTTGGACTTTTTTCAACTGTATAACNATAGCAGCGCTCGAAGTGGCAGAAATATTTATTACGCCACTTCTGTAGTAGCAGTAGCAGCGTATGTGCCTTGCATAAGTCAAATGTTGTTTTATTTTGTTAATATGCCAAGCTGTAAGGGACGTGAAAATCAGGAAATTTGTAATAGATTGGTCAGGAAAAGTCAAAGAATTTAAAACAAAACTTTGAGTAGAAACTCTGGTTTTATTTGGATTACAACTAGGGTGCCGCGTTGGTTAAATAAAAGACATTTAAAACATGTCTCCTATTGTTAATTTTAAAGCCTATCTAATGTACTGTACATCAATGATGATAGATCCGAATTTCATCTTCATGTATATCTTCATCATTAATATTTGTAATTAGATAGTAAAAATTACACGTTTTGTACCATGAAGTATGTTTGAAGAATCTTAACAATAGAAAATTTTAACTTTAATTTGAATCTCTAATTGAAGCAAAAATCTTCAAGCAAGATTTATGGATCATATTTATGATAAAAATCATAGATTTAAGAAAATCACTGATTATTTAAATTAAAATATATGCTTTCCACCTCGACTTAGTAGTGGCTTGCCACTGTAAATCATACTTTTCGTTTTATATGATTAAAAGACTTTAATTTTAATTACTGAAATACAATTAAACTTCCAAAGAGCGGACATTGAAGGAAACATTAAAAAAACGGCCGTTGTTCGAAGGTGACCGTTGTTTGAAGGTTATCTTGTATTCGTTTTTCTGAATCCAAGTGCTTGAAAAAAGTTGCCGCATGTTTAGAGATGGTCGTTGTTAGGAGGTGACCGTTGTTACAGGTTTGACTCTAAATATAAAAAGACATTAATAAATATTCATTTAATATTTCCATGCAAAATACAATTTTTTCACTTACTTTTTGAATTTATTTTGCACGAAGGTGCAAATGAACGATTCCATCTTAAGTTTTAATAACGTTTATAACCTCGTTGTTGCGGACCTAAACAGAAAAAGAAAATTAATTAATTTTTATTATTTTTATGCTATAAATAATATATTTATAGCATTAATTAATTCAATGTTTACATAAAAATTCAATATTTTATTTATTGATTTATTTATTTAATGCGAAACACCAGCAAACTAAGAATTATGGTAAGCATTTCAAATCCATAATATGTTTATTAGAATGAATGAAAAGCGAGGAAACGACCAAATGCCTGACAGAGCTTCTTGTTAAAACGTCCTCCAAAATTTATAGAAATAGACTCATAGAAAACAATACAGCTTATTCAAAATGGCTGAAAAACTCTGATAGTTGAATCTATGTTTCAGGCGCTGAATCTGAAGATTCATAATGTAATACAATGTAACAAAATGTTAAATTGTTAAGCATTAACTATATTGGGAATATTCTGTAATTTTATTGTAAAATTTGTAAGCAATTATAATGCTTAACAATTACCGTTAGAGGGCGCATGTATAAACACAGAAAATTTCATACATTGTTGCCAGTTCAGTCTAAATGCTCATTTTTAGCTAGACTTTAATGGATTTATGTACAAATTACGAAAATTATATTAACTTAGCTATTTTTGATGCAGTCTAACTATAAAAATTTGATGAATTGTAATGAAAACAACATGATTCAGTTATTTTTATTGAAATGGTTTAACTGCAGATTTGAATTTTGAGTTGGAAACACTAAATCCTGCAGATTTTTGAGAAGAAAAGTTCAATTCGACTTGGTTTACGCCTTTTTTCGCGAAATGTTACCAAGAATAGTCTATAGGATAAGTTTGGTCAGAACAGGCTTGGATTAAGAAGCCGAATAACACGCGAATAATTTCGAAATCGTCTAATATCCGCACTGAAAGAAAAGAAGTCATTAACACGACCTGTCACCCTTGACCCTTAACTCTGTCCGTACTGTCAGATTAAAAGTCAAGTTCTGATGATTGGTCTGAATGAAAAGACTCATCCTTACTGCTGACTCTTCTTGGAACGATTGTTTTGGATATTTGGCAGCACTTTTTACCAGCTCCATGTTTTTGTTTAATATTTATTACACGCCCAGACTATAAATTATTTTAAAATTTTCAAAACACCAAACATTAGTTGAGTTTCTTAAGGTTGAAAAATCGTTTTCGGCTAATACGGAATACCTTGCTCTCTTGGCTGCTTTATCAAATTCTGCTATTCTATATTGCCCGATATGCCATCTAGAAAATGAAAGAGTGTCAATTCTACTTTTAAGGGTCACAAAATAAAAACGACATTGACGCATTATGGAGCGTTACAGGGCAAAATTTGGTCAAATATTTTGCTAGAGAATGTTCAAGCTAATGTAAAACTGGGCTTGATATATGAACTTAAAAATTAATTAAGATATTAACTTATAACTAGAATATCTACCGTTATATCTATCGATGTCGTAGTCAACTTCAGGTTCGGGTAATCTCTCTCCATATGTTTGATAGCGATGAAAGCTTTCGTCTTTTTGAGGATATCCGTGATAATAAGGCTGTGAAGTGGCTTTCTCATTCCTGTACTGTGATGGACTGGTTCTTCCGTGTGCGTATTGTGGAAGAGTAAGTCTTTCGTGTGTGTATTGCGGAGGAGTAAGTCTTTCGTGTGCGTATTGCGGAGCGTTATTCTTGTCGTGTGCATAGTTTTGAGGCATTGTTCTTTCACTCTCGTATTGTGGAGAAGTGTAACTAAATTTTCTATTTGGATCAACTGGTAACATTTGAAATGATGGAGGCACCTGTATTTTTCTCGGATATCCAGGCGAGGGTTCCATATTAATTCCATAGCTTGGTGGCATTCTTGGATCTGGATTTCCAACTTGATTTATTTGTGGAGTTAGTGGATAATTTGATAAATTTGCTTGATTAGCCTGAATAAACCATATGAAGGTAAATTATTTACAAGTAATTTTATATTGAAAATAAAGTGAAATATTTTACTTCTTGAGTTTTTTCTCTTAAAATTTCGTTTGCTCTCTGGCACACGTAAACAGTTAAAGATATCTAAAGAAAAACATAAAAAGTGTAAGCTTTCATTGAGTTTTTTTTTGCAAAATAAATAAAAATATTTCTATGATTTGATTACCAAGATGGCCAATACGATAATCCCTTTTTCAAATAAAGCAGCCATTATTAAATTACCCGTAAATATATGGTTTAACCAGATGTTTTCTAGCTTTAATTCGTTAATTTTTATCTGTAATATTTAATTTAATGTAATATTATATTTAATTCAGCTATTTAAAAATATATATATAAAATTTAATACGTCTTTTATCGCCTGATATAAAAAGTAGACTGAGAATGCAACATCACTAAGTATGACCGTTATTGTGATCCATACCCAGAATCTCAATATAGAGACGATTCGTTTCTGTAAATAATATTTAAATATAAGAATTATTTAATAAAAAATATTATTGAAAACAGTTCTAAACTATATTAAAATAGTCAACATTTAAATTTGTTGCTTGATATTTTTGGTTCTCCACCCTATGGGTGCTATGAAAGCCTTCAGCAACTAGGCTGGATGGTGAGGAAGGGACCAGACAGTACCAAAATTAAACAAACATTTGTAAATTTACACACATTTTATTTACCTATTGTTAAATTAATACTTAATCACGCACTTTTTGTTATTTTACAATAGTTAAAAATATAAAAAGTTTTTAGTAATAAAATATCATAACAGATGGCGCCACCGAAATGTTGCCGGGGGGGGAAAGTTAAGCAACTCGTTGCTGGATTATTATTATTTTTTTTTTTATTCTATAAAATACCAGTTAATTTATTTTCTACGTAAACTTTAATAAAAATAAAGAATTAATTCTGTAAATGTATTAGTTTTATTTTATCACTTGGAATTTTAGATAAGACAAAATTAAAGGTGCAGTAAAAATTATCTAAGTATAAAATTGCTTGATAAATATTATAAATTATTTAAATAAATTATTTAATTTAAGGCTAAAATTATAATAAATAAATTATTATTTTAGTTTTAATATAATTAAATTATATAATCAAGACTTGAGAAATAAAGATTAAAAATTAGAGTATTAAAGTAATAATTTTCCTAAATATTTTATAAACAATTTATGAAAAAAAATTAAATATTTAAATAACTATAATAATATTTTAATTTATGTTATATTTGGAAAATTGATTAAATAAATAAAATAAAGATTAATTTTAATTTTTTTAATCAATAATAGAACTTTGAAATTATTGTATATTTATAGAGTAATTTAGATAATATAAAGATAATTTTTACTGATAAATTACAATATTTTATAGTCTTTCACTTTAAAAAATATTTAATAATTGACTTAATATGGGACTTTTAAACATGTTTAAGAGTGTAACAAGAATATCCAATAATTTATTTTATGTTGAATTAACAGAAAGATCTTGTAAGATCCTTGTATTGTGAAAGGTCATTATAAGATCCTTGTATTGTGAAGGGTCATTGTAAGATCCTTGTATTATGATCTTCTACAGTCCTTGTATTAGTAAGGATCTTGTGAGAGCTTGGGATCGTATTAATATAAGATCCCAAGATGTTATGAAAGTTAAAATCACTTATCTACCGTGTCAACCTACTTGTCAATCTGATACAATACAAGGATCTTACAAGATCCTTCAGTTAGTTAAAAATACAATAAATTATTGGATAATCTTCCAACACGTTTAGAACCTTGCTGTAATCTTTGGGTTTTAGAATAAGTAGTTGTCTTATAATTTTTTCCACTTATACATTTATATAAATATGTTTTATCTATATCAATAAAAAATATTACCTGATTTGCAATACTTATAGCGATAGAAGCCACTAACCATAACACGTAAATAATGAGAGATGTTATAACAATACCTTTCACAGCTGTAAAAATAACGTTTATAACTTAAAAATAAATTATATTATACATAGAAATAATTTATGTAAAAGAAAGTAAAGTTACTTTTATTGTAATAGAGACGAAGTAAACTTATAATGATATTAGCATAAATTGTATTATCAGTTTGTTTAAAGATCTTTGTATTTGATAAAGCTATATTTAACAGCTGGAAAAAAATTGATTTCCATATAATTCCATAAATGGAAATAATCTGTAAAATAAATATTAAATAATTAGTTTAAAATATTACCGGTAATTAATTAATTAACAAGTAATTTATAATATAGAGTTTTACCTTCACTATGCCACTTGATTCTATAAAGGAAACAATAGGGAGTAATGTAAGATTCAGATAAGTAAAACTGCTTTTAATTAAACTCTTTCCGCCCTGTGGGCACTAAGAGGGCCTCTTATAGCAAGCCCATTATGGGTTTGGCCAGGCGCGTAATAGGGCAGCCGGGTGGTGAGGGATGGAGCCCAACATAGCCGGACCACCCCCTCCGAAAAATTCCTGGGGATTTACCGTACCCGGGTCCCCAAGAGTGGTAGGCTGCCCCTTGACCACTCGGCCATACATATAACATTATAGAGCTTAACTCTGTAATGTAATTTATGTATAACATTACATATAATACGTTGCTATAGCACTGTAACTTGATGAAATATTCACACTGTAATATTGAAAACATCTATCTTGATATGTTTATTATATTAAATTTACAACAGTTAAAGAAATGTTAAAAAACTCACATATTTTAAAATGTAGAATATTACAAATTATCTAATTATTTATCAAACTTGACAGCATCATATCTTATATATATATGTATACCTCCCCCTTTCTATAATAACAAATCCCATACAATATAAAGTCTTAAAACAACTTATCAATAATTAATTTATGATTAATATATTCATAAAAATGTATAGAAACTTATGATTTTGTAATCCAATTCATTCGTATCATAAAAGTATTTTACATTTACTTTCAGTTTTTATTTGTGTATTTCACGAAATTCAAAATTGAAAGTGAATTAAGATACAGTGTTTTACATTTCAATTAGGTACAAACTTTGTTAAAAGTGAAAATTATTTAAATAATTCAAAACAGAAAGTACTTACAATGCCAATAACAGATGCTGAAACAGTAGAACCGAAGAGAGAACAACCACAGAACCCCATTGCACTTAAATGAAAAATTTCAACTGGATGATAAATATAACTAGGATACACTGATAACAGATAAGATAAATGCAGAATTAACAATGGAGAATTTAATTACTCTCGACAGCAGAATAGATATGGGAACCCTTTCTTATACGTTATAAGTGAAAATGAAAATGAGTTCGGTGATTAAAATGAAAGCTTAATTAAACAGATTAATTGTTTAAAAATGAGAAAAGTGAAATATCAATCTTAGTAATGTTATTTATCTTTAAATTTACTTTGACCTGTGACCATCATAATGGGTTCAAAACAATTCGTGTATTTTTCCGTATGGGATAAAAGTTGGTCGGGATAAACCCTGTCACTAAAAGCTGTATTGTAACACAGTAATATTAATACTTATAATTAGCATTTATTACAATGCGAAACAAATAACAATTTATATGAATTTACCATAAACCGTCAGTTAGTAAATGTGAAAATACATTGCTTTTCGTGTTTTTCCCACAAGAAATGGAGTTGGAGTGATTGCCCTTATCCTGAACTTTATCTTCGATGTGTTTTGTTTTGCAGTTCTTTGATTTTCTCGGGTATTGTATTTCAGTGGTGTGTGTATGTGTGTGTTTATGTGGTGATGGTAAAATCTTGCATACAGTCATCGAAAGAGATTAATATCAATGTCATTTGCGTATGAGAGCTGTGCAGCAGATTGTTTTTGCGTTGTTACATCTTGCTCTTGAATCAATTCTTATGAAGATTCGGCTATTTTCACAGAGCATGCTTCTGTCTATGCCATCTCATTCATTACTTCACCGTCAGCCTTTACCATTTTCTTGGGTATCCTCTTCGATGTAATCGCTCCAAGCATACATTCTGAATTCAATTGATAAAAATAATGAAGTTTTAACAGAAATAGATAAATTCTCGTATTTGAAATCGCTATTAGGAGGTGCTGCTGGTAATGTGGTGAATAGGTTCGCTTTTTCCAAGGAAAATTATGAAAAGGCTTTAAAACAGCAGAAACAGAGAGTTGGCGTTAAACGTCACTTCTGGCATTTATGGTCATTTACTACATCCGATTTTAATTAAACTAATACCCGAAGATCTAGCTCTGGGCTTTAAGAGGAAACGATTCGACAAATCAAAAGGAAAAGAATTCGATGAAACAGAATTATTAAGGTTTTTGAAGCTTCAAATCGAGCACAGAGTGTCTTCAATGATATTCCAGAATTTACATCGTCACAATGCCAGTCTGTGATTTTTCTTCAATGTTCTCAATTCTTTTAGTGGTTTGTTGCCCCTGTACATCATACTTTTCCTGTTAACAACAGAATCTTGCCGGTATCTATCTAACTCTTGTCAAGGGAAATTTTGAATGGAAGTAACGTGACTTTCAATCTAAACCGGAAATTCTTATATAGTTAATTTGGACCTCCTAATCCTAAGCTTTTCACGTCCAGTTTGAAATTTCATCTATTTAACTTATTTCTCGAGATTAAGCAAGGACAGACAGACAACACACAAGCGGAGCGGAGGACAGTGGGAATTTGTAGGTTGTATTTTCAAATAAAAGTACAATTAAACTTACAATGTATTAATTTTTGTTTATTTATTTTCAATGGGTCATCTTATAATCTTGTCTAGATATTGAATACAGTATGGCCGATACATAGGTTAGTCACGTGAATTTTCTGGATTTTTTTCACGTGTCTAACACCCAAATCGGGACTAATTTCCATTAGAAAGTCCTCCAGGATGATGCCAAGATTGGCATCTTCCTGGTCGCTTTGTATTGTGTTGCCTTATCCTACCAATCCTTCATGAGATAGGTTGGATTATCCTATTGGAGCGATCAGATAATGAAAATAAAATGATTCAAATTCTCACAGAAACTTTCATAAGTAGTACAAACTACTCATTGAGATTTTGAACCTTTAAAGCAAAGACAGATATTTTTATCCTCAGTCATTCGACCATTAAATCTTATCATGATTATGCGATGTGGGTGGAAAATAACTAGTCATTGAAAAATCAATATTACTTTAATAATTATAAATCAAAGATGATATAAATTGAATATAGATTCAAAGCTTAAAATTTAATATAGACACGGCACCAACCTCCAACTTCCTCGAACGACAGGGAATTGTGATATAGATAGACGGGCACTTCTCTGGTCATTAGCTTCGAATGACAATTCTTGATCGTTTCTGGACGGATTGTGGCATAAAATCCCTTTACCGTACGCTACCATTTCTGTAAAGCAACCATTCATTTTAACATTTCATAGAGTGTAGCATTCTGCGCTTGCTCGTGAACAGATAAGCGGGCGACCTGTTTTTTGCCACTGCTCGTGCATCCCATCTCATCACTTTCTATGCCACCGATGCAGGAATTATAAATTCCGTTGATTGATGTACACAGACGCATAAACAATATATAAATTTTATTAAGATTGCCTTATTATTACATAAATTATAGCGAATCCTAAATGCCTAGATACTTTCCACCCATCGAGTAGATTAATTCAATACAAATATTCTATTTCTTCATCATCCGCTTATAGTAACATCAGAAATAAGTTTCATACTTAAGCAAATTCAACTGAAAATAACACAATTAAATGCATAATTTCAGATTTGGAATCCGGACATTTTACTTTTACAACGAAATGAACCATGGGCAAGACTTAAGCATTCTTGTCCAAGAAGAGTGGGTGCTTAGCATCAACAGAATTACACAATTGAAAGCAATTCGTGGCGCACACAATTTGTTTATTTATTTCTTAGACTTCATTTCTTCCATTTCTTTCTTGAATTCTTTTAAAGGTTGGCCATTCACTTCGTCATAATATGGTAATTCCTTTTCCAGTTTCGTCATCCATCTTTGAATCGAGGAGTATTCGCTATAATCGAAATCTATCAACTAAAATGTGAAATTTGTGTTAAAATCGCCAAAAAAAATTCATGTAAATTTATGAAAATTAAATATTACCTTTGCAAAAGTTAGTGTAGCAAGAATGGAAAGATCTGCAAGAGTTAACGTTTCTCCAACTAAATATGGACTTGTAGATAAAAATTTTTCTACATGAGAAAGGCATTCTTTTAAGTTTTTTACTTTATCTTGGTCTACATTCTCACCTCTAAATGCTGGACCGTACTTAAAATAAATTAATTAAAGTTTATATTTTATCTCATTATAAAAATATATGAAATTATTGAAATTTTATTGGAAAAGTATAAAAGATTTCACATAAAATTACAAAGTATTGGATGTTTACTTAAATGTTACTATCCGAATTAGTACGTGAGTATTGAAATACAAGTACACAGAAGTTCATCAAGAAGATCATCAAGAATCTGAATGATTATCTATAATCCACGGAATATAAAATAGTATGAATTACGTATGAAACTATATAGTAAAATCTTCAATATGAACTTTACTTCTGCTATAAAGCCATCAAGAAGCATCTCCTTGAAGTACATAGAAGACATCAAGATCCTCAAGAATCTATAAATATCCTCTTGAAGCTGTGTGCTTTATAATTCACAAAACAATAAAATACTGTGAGTTATGTAAGAATATATATACTAAGGTTTTCTATGTAAACTTAACTTTTGCAGAGTAATCATTAATGATTTCCTCGTTGTAAGTACTGTAGAAAGCAATAGAACTCTTTAAATATTTTCTTGAAGCTTTGTGTTCATCTATAATTCATATATTAGTATAAATTACGTACCAAACTATACAATAAAATTTTCCACGAGCGCTTAACTTCCCTCATGAAGATGGTATTTTTAGTAATTGCAATCTTTGAAGAGTTGTGCCAATAATTAAGCATGGTATTGTAAGATATATCTACAGTAAATTATAGTAAATCTTATCATACTTACCACTAAATCCGCTACGTTTTTGTAAAGAGAACCGATATCAAAATATAAGAAGTAATCGATCATGGCTCTCTTCTTCGCATCTTTTGGATAAATTTGATGATTTGGAGCGTATTTATTGGCTAAATACGTCATTATAGCGCGGCTGAAACGTGAAATTCCTTGTATTATTTATAAAAATAATAATAATTGAATGTATTTTATCATTTACTCGACGTAAAACAACAGCGTAAATCGATAATTGTTTGGTAACAAAACAGATAAAACCATAGTAACATGAAACATGTAAAAATATTGAAAAATCTATGAGTACAAAAAATCGATATTTTCTAGAATTTCGGATCAAAATCGTCATTAAATGCAGGAAAAATTATGAAAATAAATAAATTTACCTTTCCCATAAGTAATATCCATCATCGTCAATTGTAGGAATACAGTGTTGAGGATTAATCTATAAAAATAATAAGGTACTCAAGATTATGGATTGGCGCACGGTCGCGTCGCGTCGCGCCGCGTTGCTTGGAATGTTACATTTGCGGACTGAAACGCGTTAAAAGCTTATATTTTATCATCTATAAAATACATAAAAAAGTAAATGAACATAATATATGTTTAATTAAAATTATAAAACAATTAGATTATTTTAATAATAAGAATATTAATTTCCCGAACGGCACGGCGCATCGGGTTCTAAATCTATAATAAATAAATTTAAAAAATTAAATATTGATTTGTTTTTATATCTGTTTAAAATTAATAAATTATTTCAAAGAACAATTATAAATTTACTTATTTTTTTCACAAAAAAATATATAAATAATTATAAAGGAAGAGATACTGTAACGCGCGATCGCGCCGCGATGCTACGCGACGTGCGCTACAGCAGTAAACAAACCCATTTGTTTACATTAGAAGCGATTTTGTTGGCTTCTCACGAATATTTCGGTGAAATTTTGTAAGAAATAAATGATAAAAAGTGCAATTTACCTTAAGAAATTCGTCTTTGTATTGTTCTCCATTAAATAAATTCACGAATTTTAAATTTACTTCTAATCCTATTTCTTTAGCAGTCATCAAAACAGCCCTGCAGGGCGCGCTTACAGGTATTTGATACAAGTCAATTGGCATTTTCTTCTATATTGAAAAATAGGTAAACACTATATATAATGTTCTTCACCCTTTTCTATCTGTCCTGCATTATAATTGGATGATTTCCGTAAACGTCATTAATAAATAATAAAAAAATAAATATAAGAAATAAATGTCATATGCTGCCATCTGTCAACCGAATTTGTAATTAATTTTTATTTTTCTCACCTTTCCTTATTTAAAATGCTTATACAGTATTTTCTTTTTAATAATTTATAAATTGTTTACAGTTTTTTCATATTTAAATATATTTTAAAATTTTATATACTTTTAACTATAAATATAGAAACATTTTGTAATAAAAATAAAAAAAAAATTATATTAATTTTATAGTAAGTGTTTTTGATACTAGATGGCGCGAAAAGCGCATTTTTATATTGTAAACCAATTATATCAAAATTAAATTAAATTATTATTATTATTATTATTTTAATATTAATATTAATAAATTTTTAATATTTATAATATAAAAATTGTTAATTTTAAGTGAAAAAATATAAAATTTATTCTTAAGATAAGGTGCTTTTACGGGTGTGTAATACATTTCATGCGTAAATATACGTATAAATCTTTACGTAATTACCTTAATATGTGGCTATTTTTATCCCCAAAAAGGTAATTTTACCTACTAAATTATGTCAAATATTTAATTATAATTCCTCAAGTGGATTCGTATTCCATTAGCATACATTTTTAATTACGTTGCATTAACAGGCGATTTTTCGTGTCTTCAAAATATAATTTATATCACAAAATCTATAAATATTATATAATATATTCCAAGCCACAAAATAATATAAGAAAAATATAAAATTTATATTTATTTATTGTTTATTTGAGCGAAGATTCGGGTAAATCTTAATTAGATCCATACACAAGTCGTCAATGGATCTGTGGTTTTTATTCAGAATATTATTATTAATTCTTTTATTCTCGTGTAAATATATGGGATATCATTTAATGCTGTATTTAAAATAATAATTCAATATATTTAAGCATTTTTAATCCTTATAAGAAACGTATTTCAATTCTTTATTGACCGCCATTTTGGGTCTACGTTTCAACCGCTTCCCACGTAGACCCAAAATGGCGCCCAATGTTTATTCGATTCGAATTTCAGTTAATTTTAATTATTTTTCTATAATTTAAAATGTATTTTAAAGCACAATTTCATTTTAAACATAATTAAAATAATGTTCTAATCGAATAATTCTTTTAAATATTTTTAAAAATGATATTATATGAATTGATAATAAAAATGATTCAAATTTATTTATATTTATATATATTTTTAGCGTATAAAATCTTATAAGCTAATTAAAATAAAATTAATTTGTTTATTCCTACAGTTTTAGATATTATTAATTTAATACCTAAGTTAATTTACATATTGTAATATTTTAAATTTAATTTAAAATTTAACTGTAATTACTAACTTAATAATATTGAGCTGTACAGAGCACCCTATATACACTTCATGACTGTGCTATAACAGGCATTCAATATGCTTTATTGGGCTCTATAGGGCAACACCGAATAAGCTTCAATACTAAGCTCTACAGGGCATTCAATATGCTTTATTGGGCTCTATAGGGTAACACCGAATAAGCTTCAATACTAAGCTCTACAGGGCATTCAATATGCTTCAGTATTGAGCTCTACAGGACACACGATGTACTTCGACGTTGAGCTCTTCATGACACTCGATTATAACTCACAATATAATTTGTACGGAGCTGAATATGGAACATTTATTAAAGACTTAAATACATGTACAGTACGTGTGTAATTCAATACAAAAATTTCAAGCATTTAAATAATTTTACGTGGGATTTTAGGGGGTCGTCTTAAACCCGTTTATTTACATAGCGTGTATATAATAAACGATAATACGTAATTAATCAATTTGTTATCATAAAAGTTTGGCAAATTTTAAAGCATTTTTTATTAATGATCAATCTTATTTAAACCCAATTTTATCATTATTACTTTTATGTATAATATAAAAGACGGGCATCAAATTCGTATGATTAAAAGTTAGAGCTGGCAAGTAGCAATTATAAAAATGATGGGGTCGCCCGTTGTAATTACAACTTATTAAAATTACCCAATTACTCCTTCATTAATAAACCAAAATAATTGCTTAGCACGTTATCCCAGTCAACATCTGTAACGATACAACGGGGAGAAGTTAAGCAGAAATGGTAGCAGAACCCTCCCTCCCCCCTTTTTATTTTTTTTTTTTATAACGAGCTTCTTAAGTGGTTCCACGTTTCTGCCACGATTTTTCTATTGCCGAATTCGCACGAATGGAGACGAAGGTGACAAAAACACTAAGGTGACGTCATGGGGTACGTACTAATCCTGTCTGCTGATGGCCGACGGTATGTGGGACGTGACTACACATCACTCTTCGGACGACTTTAGAAGTTTGGTGTTTACAAAAGGACATCACCTTCCCACGAGTTCTTGCCCGTGTTAAACCTCAGATCAAAAGATTCCCCGCGAATTAATACACCAGAGTAGACTTCAGTAACTAATTTTTATTCATTTTTTTCCTTTCCCCCTCTTAAATTATTCATATATAGGAAAGTAATTATAGTGAAACCTGTACGAAACGGAAACTTGTCTAAAACGAGATAATAGTTTAGGCAGGTTTTCCTGAAGGTAAGGAGCAACTAATAATAGATTGTTATAGAAATTTTATTTATCTATAAAATAAAACAATTTAAACATATTTCAAGCGAAAGATATTCTAAATTTTTCCAGTTAAACCGCATCAACTGTTGTGCATCTCACCTCGTTTTATACAAGAGAACTTCCTTCCACCCCTTACAGAAGCGTATGATAATAAATTAAAGTCTTTTTCTAATATCGATCAGTTCAAGATTTTTATCAGATTTACAAGCAATTTCCATAAATTTTTCACATCTCTAGTCTCTCCGGTAACATTTCTTACGCGTAAGAGAGAACACAAAAAAGTACTGTATAGCCTACATGATATTGTTAGTGAAATAGGTAAAACACTACAAGAAACAAATCGACTGTTTCTATCGGTACTTTCTACCATTTATACTCTTGTCAAATATTTCTATACAAGGTAAAACTTGTTTAAACCGGTTTGGCGGATGTCCGTCTTATACAGGTTCCGTTTTAGACAGGTTTACCGTAATATAAGTTACGTTTTATAATAAAGGAGGGTGGTTATTTTGGTAGACGATTTTCTCCCGTTTTATTGTTACTCCTCTCTATATAGAAACGTTATCGTGTTCTCCTACATTTTCTTTTATTTTTTATTTTTTATTTTTTTGTGTGTGTGGCGCCAGGGGGTGGTTCCTTGTCCATTTAGTCAATGTTTACCGAAGAGCCATTCTGGGAACTGTGGCTCTATCATTTGGGAATCATCTGATCATCGCTGACAAGTCAACTGACTGAATTTTCTTTTATTCTGTAACTTGAAAGTGTCATCCGTCATTTTCTTACATTTTTCTTAATAAAACTTTTCGTATGTTTTTGAGGTTGTACAAATGTACTACGGCTTTATTTTATTTTTTTATTTTTATTTCTTTGTTTTTATTGTTCGCGGACAAATGTGTCGTATGTTTGTTTACATGTTGAGAAAATAAAGAAGAAAAAGAAGGTAAAGTCAACTTTCTGTCGCCGGATTTCTTTGATACTTGATAATTTTTTTCTCTGTGTGTGTGCTTCTTTTCCAAAATTAAAGTGTAATTTCGTGCTTTATATTAATTAAAATGGGAGGAAAATTAAGGCGAAATTTTAAAATGTTAAATTATATACGTAAATTATACATAAATGTTGGATTATATACGTAAATTATACATAAATGTTGGATTAATTACGTAAATTATACATAAATGTTGGGTTATATACGTAAATTATACTTAAATGTTGGATTTTTGGTATAAACTGTATTATTGAACACTAAACGAGAGAATAAAAAGCGGAGAGAGAAGGAAAATGCGAACTATGAATTGAATTTTATAGCATTTCTTATCAAACTTTTGATATTTTATAAAGTTTAAAGAAATAGACAAATTATTCGAATTATTAATGAATACAATACAATAAATTCCTACGAAACAATTACTAAACGTTGTATTAATTAAAGAAGGAAACTTTGAGCCACTCAAAGTGCAAGTCTTATATATAGGCCTATATATAATTCAACATGAAAAAAAGACGTTTAATTTCTTAACATTTAACATTCCACTTTTGATATTCTTGATTCTTGTGGAATGAATCATATCGTAAAACACAGACAGTAAAGTAATAAAAACGTACAGATTGGGAACAATTTAACTTCCACCCCGTGTCACGTGACGGCAACCTAATTGTTGTCGTCTTTTTTATCTACAGATAAGGACCCACCCCACGAAAGTAAGATGAAAGAAAGGCAACCTCCACCTAAATAAATACAACGTATCTTAACTATTATTCATCATTTTCTCTTCCATTCTTCCATACCAACTTCTCACAATTTAACTTCATAAAATGGGACTTATATGCCTAAATTTAGGCCCTTTTACGTCATTTATTAAATACATCTGATTAATATATCCAAATTTACAATATTTTCTGTCTGACAGAGTTATTTTCAGTGCAGAGACACCTTATTTTCCACTCTCCTTCTCCTCTTTTTCCTCATCTATGCCACCTCTAACTTGTTAAATTTGCATATACACCGGTTAACCGAATTATGGGCCACTCTATATATATATACAGATTGGCCCAAAAGTCGTTTAACCGTATTTATATATGCAACTTTAACATGTTTGAGGTGGCATAGATGAGGAAAAAAGAGGAGGATGAGGGTAGACATTCTGTATATATATATATAGGGAGTGGCCCAAATTTCAGTTAACATTTATAAATACTAAACTATTACCTTAAATTTAAGCTTGCTATCAAGAGGTAGACAGCGCGGTTAACTGAATTTTGGCCCACCCTTTATTTTAGTTATTTTTTAAAGCATTTTACGTAATTATCTTTTATTAATAGTGAAGAGAA